GAGAGAGAGAGAGTGTGTGTGTGTGTGTGTGAAGAAAAAAAAATGAAGAGAATAAAAGCCCAACTAACTTTGCAGAGTGTGTCTGACCGGACACTTGGGCCAGGCGATTCATGGCCAAGCTCTATTGACGCCCATCCTCAATGGCGTGTCAGATCATTGCATGATGGAGTGTAATGTCAGCCTGCGTGATCTCACGGTGCTGAGTGAAAGTTGTGTAAGCTGTCCCGAGTGGCACAAGCCACACACGTGGGTGCACGTTTTGGGGCACCTGCAGAAAGAGCTGAGAGGGAGGGAAAAGCAAAGAGGACGACCAGAATGTTGGAACGAAAAGGCATGACTTGCGAAGGCACCCAGGGCCAACCAACCCCCCGGCACGCCCTGCCCAGGGTTGGTTTAGCTGAATCCATGACGGCGGAAACGAGCAAAGAGCTGGTTGGGCTTGGCTGGCTCTGCTCGCACTTTTCAACACTTTCGTCCGCCCGAAGAAGCTTTTCGAAGCAGCACGGGACGGCACAGATGGGCCTTCGCCCGACCCTGTCATCGCAGGCGGTCAGTTGACTGGCACACACGCCCTCTGATTTGCCCAAGGCGACTCGGTCCAGGAACCATATGCTGGCCTTCATGACATGTCCCCCCTTCTGGGCCTCTTTCTGGGGCCCCAGGCCTGTTGATTGCCTGGCTAATCCGGTCGCTGACATGACTGACAACCAACACACATGCCCATGGTTCCATGGTTGGCACGGCCTTAAGCGAGTCACAGAGCGCGCGCGACCCAGGGAATACTGCGACGATACGACCTAGTGTTTTAATTGATGAATTATACATGTAGGCATGAGCCGGCATGCCCTTTCGTCCTCTTTCCCATTCATCATTCATCAAGGTGGTGCCTCCTCCCAACGTTGCACAAGGCGGAGTAGTCCTCTGCCCTATTCTAAACCGGTGAGCTCGCGCTTCCACGGGCCTCCCCAGAATTTTCTCACCGAACCCTCGACCTCGACTTTCCCTCTCCAATCACGTCTCCTTTGCTGCGACAGAAGCAGCACGAAATTGGTTTCTTTTGATCTCCCCTCTTGGCCGGTCCGCGTGTTTGCAAGCTAGCGACCTGTTTAGCCTTCCTTTCCCTGGGCAATTCGCTTTTTTCAGCCCCTATCCCGCTGGGGGGAGAGCTGGAAGATTGGATCTGCTTGTTTGCTTGTTTGCGCTGCTTGGTTGCTTGGTTGCTTGGGCAGCTTGCTTGCTTGCTGCTGGGCTTGCTGGGTTGCCTGCTTCTGCTTCTGCTTCTGCTGCTGCCGCCGCCGCCGCCGACTCGGGGTCGGGTGGGATCTGCTCGTGTCTGTCCGTCCGTTTGCCTGCCTGCCTATCTGTCTATCTACCTTGACTCCCTCTCTCTCCCTCTTCTCGCACCGTCACCTCGAAAAGAGCGAGCGCGTGTTCCCCCACCGTCGCCCGCCCGCAAGGGCCATCGATCTGTGAGACCTTGGGCTCGAGGGTTCTCCAGACGGACGGTCTACTCCTTCTGACCCCACCCCCTCCCCAGAGCGAGGCGGGTGAGGCACCGGTGTTTGGGTCTGGCGGGCATTCACTCTACTTACTACCACTTGTCCATGTATTGTGCACATTGCGGCGCTTGCCTGCGTACATGCTTGTCCAACACACCCTTCACTTTGTGCAAACATAATGGTGAGATCTGCCCCCGTCTTGTCCCCGTCGAGTCCCTGTTGGCTCTGGCCCCCCAGCGCGGCTTATTGCATATTCAATATGAACGTACAGAAGAATTGATTTGCCTCCAGGATACTCATAACAATCCCAAGAAGCGCCGCCGGCTTTCCGGCTACGAGGATGCCCCTGTGGTAGTAACCCAGGATCATTCCTCTGCATCTGCCGTTTACTCGCCGCTGGGTCGTCGCTACGACGACTGCGAGTTACAAATACTTCAAGCTGCCGCATCCATCGTCGGTCGACAGCTTTCTGATATCACTGCCTTGGATAGGTACACTCATCATCATACTGATCCACACCACTACTATCCTTCTGCCACTGCTTCCTCAAGTAATAATAATATTAGTTTTACTGCTCCTCCTTCTAATACTCATCATCGTCATCATCATCACCATCGGCGAGATCAGCAGCAGCAACATCGAAATCAGCAGTCTTTACCCTCTCCTCCTGCTAAAAGGTTACGCGTCGATACAGATATAACACTCATGTCTGAGCAAGAAAAGCCACAACGTGGCTACCCCCATTCGGCACGCCATCAGCATTCATCTGGGGATAGTGACGATGATACCTCCATGTCGTTCGGCATAGGGAGGTCCAGAATCTCATCTTGCTTTGCGTCAATATGTCCGCCTTGTTCAACCAGTGACCCACCACCAGGTTTGTAGAGACCCTCGCATGTGCTTCAACACGACTAACTGGGAGAAAAAGCCTACTCCGGTGTTCCAAGTACTCCATATGGTTATGAAGCGAGATCAGCCTTATACCAAGACGCCGTGACATCTGCTCCTAGTCAGTCGTGGAGTGGGACGCAGCCGCCGGCAAGCGCCTTTGCATATGATGACTCGCCCAATGCTCCGTACTTCCCTGACTTTCCCGTGCTGCAGCCTACACGCACGCAACCTAGTACTAGACATGAGGAGATGACATACAATTTATCCCCGCCAGAACGCAAATACCTGGGCCGTCCTGATGTGCAACGGATAGAGACTCACGTGACGAATTTGCAAAGTCGTGGTGGCTATGATCAGTCGAGCTACACAAGTCCGAATGTCGATTCTCGTGGCCAAATGCCCGGTGTTGGCTTTCTCCCGGCAGATGGCGATGAGGCTCAAGTGGGACACCAGTCGAACCTAGACATTGTCTCAAGTCACCAGCGAGCACCACCATCCAAGCGAGGCCCTTTCAAAAACAGCGCCGAGCGGGAGAGGACAGCCGAGACACGGAAAATTGGGTCTTGCATACGCTGCAGAATGCAGAGGATTCGGGTAAGTTTCAGCTTTATGAACAATATCGGCCACTGCCTTGGCTCCTGCTCACATTGCTTTTCTTCATCTGCCTGCAGTGCGAAATCAATCCGGATGACAAGATAGGAACTTGCTTGACCTGTTCAAGAGTCACCAGCACAAAGACTTACCGACTTCCATGTCTTCGGTACAAGATCACTGATGTGCGGCTCTTCAAGCCAGGCAATGTCAAGGGCCACGAATGGACGCGGCGGTGGACTGAGGGCATTGCTGACGACATCTCAAATTGGGCATCACCCGAAGTCAGAATGCTATGTGTGACTGAGGGCTATGGCACAAGGCCCGTAAGACTTCGAGTACGCGAGTTCATCCCCCAAGAAGGCGACAAGCTTGAGAGAAGTTGGGTGTATCAAGGGACCAAGAAGAGCGTCAGGATCCCAGCCTTCGCCATTGTCAATCTTGATGAAGCAAAGACGATATATACCGAGCATATCGCCAACGAGCTGAAAGAGTGCTGCCGCAATGTGCTGAGCGACAAGCACCAGCTGCTCAGGGGAACCTATGGGTTCGCCCTAAACTTGATGCTTGACCCGTCAACCGACCCGAAAGAGAAGGATCTTCTAAGCAAAGCCTTCCGGTTGTGGATGGCCATTCGAATGACGACGAAATCGACACTGATCGTTGGGGACGAGCGCCTCGGTATGGACGCCAACATCATGGACGACACAAGCCCGATTAAGGGAAAGATTCCGCTGCCTCCTGTGATGGGAGCGCAGATCGAACTGATCCTGATTGGCCAGCTGCAGACGAAATGGCGAAGAGAAATGCTTGACCAATTGCAGACAATGACCCAGCAGAATAACCACTCAACATGGTTGACGATATACCTGACAACATTCATTCTGCTTCACAACGTTTCTCTTCTCTGCCAGCACGACCATGCATATGCCGTCAAGCACGGAATGAAGGACTCGAACGGCAAACAGGCAAGCAACCCCTCCCCATCCACCCTACATAAAAACACACATCGTCTCGAAACGCAAGTGCAGGTAGATCAGACTTCGCCCCAAGAGTGCCATGCTCACATCATCTGGATATCCATTTTCAGTATAGCTTTCTATGACCAAGAGCTTAGGCTAATCTTTTTGTCTAGGCGCGATTCGCCAGAATGGACATGGTCAGGGAATACCAACAAGGTTAGACAAATGCATCCTCTCGATTCCATCCATGCCTCCCTGCCTGGATGAAACTGGAGTGTTTGTTGTCGCAATACTCAAAATAGCCGTGACTAACTCTGATGCGCAGGTGCCAATATCTTGCTGGCATACTGGCACTACTGCAACAAAGGTAATAAATGGCCCGAGAGTGCTCCGTGATACCCAGGTGATTTTGGAAATTGACTAACTGTGTGCAGGCATATATCCGTTTTCCGGAGAGTGTTCCGAGGCAGAGCTCAGTTCACTCGCCAAGCTGGATGTGGACAAGATCAAATTTGTTCATCAGACAAGGAATTTTGTCGAGAAAACAAGTGAGCAATAGCCTAAGCAGTTGTGCAAATATCATGTAGTGCAAACGTTTACTGACCCTGTCGTGACCTCTAGAGGAACATTGGCAAAGGATACGCCGAGGCAACGAGTATGAGAACGACATGTTCTTCATCAGCCAGCTTTTTGAGGAGAAATGGATACCAGAGGCGCCCTTGGCCTGAAGGCGCTTTTGCGCAATGCAAATGATTGAGGGCGATTTGCCCGCATGATCATTCGGCTCAGTCCGACTCTCGATGGCCTGAGGCGCCAACGAGATATCATCATTCTCATTGGCTGGTTGCGCGCATAACGGTACAATACGTGCGGACCACTATGTACAGCGGACCCTGCTGGGGACATGCTGAAGATTGTTCTGCTCTAATGCCCGTGTGGCGAGTGGACAACGGCCGCACTGTTTGTAGCATAGCAGAACCTAATGCAAAGTGGAAAATGAAGCTACACCGGTAGAATCGGCATTCATGATTACTCTTTTGAGAAATAACGGGATGGTATCTGCACGGTACCAAGAGCGTAGAATACTGACCGAGCTAACTGCCGTGGAGGCATTTGTGTCAGAGTCGAAGCGGACACGGGTCCAGCCTCTGTGGGGGAGATGATGCGACCGAAATCTGGCAAGCCATCTGATTGCAAACGGCTATGCGGCAGGCAGTCGCAGTGTACGAGGTGCAGATGTTACTTACTACCAGGAAGATGGTATGTATAGTATCTGCCCGAGTTACAATCCAAATTCCACAAAACCTAGGTATGTAGTAGTATACAATTCTAACTGTATATTGGTGCTGATATGCAAGCACTTTATAGCCCTCACCCCTGAATACTTGTTTCACCAGACAGGACGAGGAGGTGGGGGGCACGGATTGACAAACGCCACATCTCACCGGTGGACGATCTTCAATCCATCCTCAAGACAAGGCGCATCCTACATGTCATACCAAGCATATGCGTCCATCCCGCACGTGCATATTTCTCTATTAGGTAGTTGACGTCTTCTGAGAATGAGACTCATGAAAAGGAACTGATGCCAGAGTCAATGTTCCCACCCAAAGACGACCGTAACATGTGACCATTGCAGCCTCCAATTGCTCACCAGCGTCTAACCTACACAGGCACTCACGTCAATCTATCTGAAGGTCTACTACTCCAGACTATGCCAACACGACAGCAATGGTATTTTTGCTTTACATCTTGTTACCTGTGATAATTCCACCTATTATTGCATTCGAATTTGAACTACCTTGTGATAATGTACCTATGTATGCTTTGCGACAAGTCTTGAATGGGCAACTTTCAATTTATACACTCATGTGGGTACCGCCCGACTTAGGTACATGCTGACCTAGTTTAGGCCTCAAATGTTTCCTTGGAGATGGATACATTAATCAGGCTTGGCGGCGTCACATTCGATTGCGGCCCGGCCCTTCCCCGAGCTTCGAACCATGGAGAGAAAAGGGGAGTACAAAAGAAGATCTCCGGTGGGCTGGGCCTGAAAAGATGGCTTCTTGCGGGCCAACAAGGACAGAGTGCGTCGGCCAGTTGCTGATTAGACCTGCCAATAAAACGCAGTGCCTCGGATGTCAGTGTGTTTGTAATGTATGTGTAAGTAGCCGTGGTACCTACCTACCTACCTAGTTACCTGCTTATATACAGTATTCATGTGCATTTTACCACCACAATCGACCTGACTCGATTCGGCCACAAATCGATGGCAAAATGCACAAATGTATGCATACAACCTACGAAAGTTCACACATACTGTATACATTCGGCTCGTGAAGAAAACAATGATGAGCCTATGCATCAATTGATATACCCAAAAGCCAAACGCTTGTGCCATGATTGATGTAGAAAATCATTGCTGCTGCTGCTGCTGCCGCTCAACATCAATACAAAGCGGGCAGGCAGGGAGCGATTGGTCGGTCACCTACCTACTCCTTGACCCTTGGTCATACCTTACGTATCCACCTACGCGCACAACCAGATACATACAGGCCCCTTGCAAAAACTTACTCTCTCTCTCTCTCTCCCTCCCTCTCTCTCTTTTCTTCAACCTTTTCCTCTGCATCCATATCCTTGTCCGTGCAGTCCCTTATGCTGTGCTTCTTGATCGCGGCCGGGGATTCGGGTTGCGACGCTGTTTGTATGTGTTTGTATGTATCCATACATGCGCCATGGTATCGGATGCATGCGCCGGTCTCCCTACCTACATACCATACCTAGTAGTATATCACACCATGTCTTCCCACCAATGCCTGTCTATCAGTGAGTTATCAACGACACTCCCTGACTCTTTGAGCTCCATCCTCTCCTGAGGGAAGGGGAAAGAAAAGGACCCTTCGGGCGCATGGCGGCAACTCCCTCGCCGCTGTTCTGTGCTGAGCGGTGCTCTACTTCTGTGCCGCGCACCGTTCTTACGTCGCTAGCCGTGCTGCACGCCCCACGTCCGTCGTCTATATGAGCAATCTGGCTGAGGTTGTCAACTTTGATGCGGCCACAACCTAGCGCCTCTTCATATTACACATGTGACTGACTATCCAATACCTTTGCTGGTAGCATTTGTCTGTTATGCACTTAGCTGACTACATGCACCTACCGAGCTCAACCTGAACACCTTGAGCGGCATTCATTATTCACATGATACTGCATCGCTTCCAGCAGCAATTCTAGTTAGGCGTCTCTGCCTCCCAGGCGCGCTGTCCAAGTACCCAAGTACGTATGTGCATGAGATGGACTTGTCAGCAATGATCACTTTCAGGTGGGTATAGGTGTGTATGCACCCGTTTCGTTCCTTTATACACATGTAGGGATCAATGCGTTTCGAAACACGCCAACCGGTCAGTAATGTATGTGCATAGGTTGGCAACATACGCCATCTTTTTTTTTCTGGCTCCTTCCCCCGCTTCAACTGCTCCTCTTATTTTCAAACCTATCACCTGGGTACTGACCTACCTCTTTCCCTCTTGTTGTCCTCTTTGTCTGTTTGTCTGTGCTCGCAAATAACCCGACCTACCAGACTACTGCTGCTCGTCCGCGGTCATTCTGGTCCGTCAATTGACTTACTACAAATATCTGATTCTCTCTTCCTCTCCCTCCCTCTTCCCCCCCTTCTTCCCTGTCCAAGGAAGGACACCCCCCCGTTGAAGCAAGCACAGCCAATACTGCACACTCAAAGGACAAAGCACCGAGCAGAGACCCTGGCGCCTCGGTATCTTCCAATGGATTAATTCAACATGAATTAGCTGCATCCCTGCCTGCCTACATGAAGTATTTTACGCGTTGATGGGGTTCGATCGAGGTACTAGCCCAGGCAAAAAAAAAAAAAAAAGTTGAACCTTCAATGGTGGTGGGGCATCCCGCACCTTGCCGACGTTTTATGCCACTTGCCGTCCCATGACAACGGCTTGTGGTAGTACGTTACCTACATATCGTGGATTCCCAGGCAGTCAGAACTCAATTTAGATCTGCATGTCTTTCCTTTCCAATGCACCCCTCTTCCAGTCAAAAGAGACGTGCAATGAGCAGTTGTAGTAGCTATGGTATCAAGGTAGGTTGGTAAACTTCGAGCTAGGTATAGTTTGATTGATATACCTGCAAGCCGTTGCTAGCTCCAGCGGTATGCTGCAAGAGCCCATCGCGCATAGGTTCTGCATTGGAATCTGCAATTGCCTCAGTGCTGCCCTCGGAGGCACATTGCCTTTCCCAGGGTTCCGAGCGGGCACGCACTGCACCTCATGGGTGTTTGTAACAACGGAAGATTCGAAGACAGCCATCAATCATTGGCCTACATAGCACCTACTACTGACTGGCCTTTAGCTCTGCCAATGGCGATCCACAGGCCACTTCTGCAGACTACCTAGCACGCATCTACTACCTAGGATCATAATAGGACATGTGCTCCATACCCGACCAACCCTATCTTCCGCCCTCAGTACTCTCTCACTCTACCTACCTAGGTATCCTCCAATGTCTTGTGGCTTAGGAGACATTCTTTTCAAATATATATATACATTTTCTTTCTTTTTTCTTTCTTTCTTTTTTTTTTATATTATTTGCGGGTTTTCTTTTTTTTTTTTTTCTTCCTTGCAAGCGGCAGCTCGTGAATAACTACAGGGTATCCTTTTCTTACAGAGATGTTTGACTGAGCCTAATTACCTGGTGTGGCTGTTGATCCAAAGCCAAATAAACCCTCGTCCAATTTCCATTGGCATTCGCACACTCACGCAAAAACCCAGGTACGGGTACATATATAGTATCATTGTCAAGCATTACTCTGCCTTCTAATCTGGGAACTGTCTGGGAATCTGTATGGCCACATGCAATCGGTCATAAGTGACCATCTCTGCTCCCAGCTGCTCATCTACATCGCCCTTGCCATTGGACTGTGATACGGCATTTTGATCCGTATGCATGCTTCCTTTGTCTGAGCATCACGGAAGGAGGCTTCTTCTTCATCACCATCTTCATCATCATCTTGCTCATTCTCAACTTTCTTCGGGACCTTGCGGGCAGCGGTAAAGAACTTGCCGGGGCTCGTGCTTTCTTTCCTCTCACAACTTTCGTATCCACTGTGTTCAGAGCAGAGGAGCTGCTATAAATTCTTGCAGTCACACATCCGCACACATCGCAGCTGCACATCCAGCTTACCGGTCTCATCCTACATACACATGTACTATGCGACTTCCCTCGAATATTCTCAACTACCCGCCCTCAGACAGCCTCTTGTATCACACGCAGCAATCACAATCGGAAACAAGACTGAATTGTGCCGGGCATGTTCAAGAAGACACTGCCATCGTGCTCCTTCTCAACTTGCGCCGCCCACCATCACCAACGAGATTACGAGCAATTACTGACAGGAGAGTGGCTTCCCAAACACAAACGACCTGGACCACTTCTTTCCTCATGAACTTCGAGTGCTTGCAATAACATAAATAAAATCTCTGGGTGCGTCCCTCTCTTGTCCGCCTCTTCCCACTACACACCATTCTCTCAACACTTTCATTTCACTCTCACCGTCTCTACTACTTTTTTTCTTCTTTCTTTGCGTTGTCTGCAACGGATCACTCTCTTACCCTGTCAACCAGATCTCTCATCTTGACACTCTCTGGAAAATCCCTGTACGAGCCTGCACATCAAGCAAAACACAAGCCTCAGCCTCATACCCCCATCATCGAAAAAAGAGAGTCCTTGAAAAGTCTCCAGACTTGCTTCTCATTTCTTTTCGTTCTGGGACATCCCTGGTTGACCGCCTGATCCACGCTCCTGCACAAGACGCTCCAGACGCACACGCACACACACAAGGTTCGTGCTTTTGTCGTAAGGGTATAATACTCGATCGACATCCGACCACAGCAAGCAGAAATTTGCTCTTGTCTGTCAAACTGCCGCTCAACTGACCAGCTTGAATAGATCTTTCACAATGGATCACACTGGCCCCACGCTTGCTCATTCTACTGCTGGAGACCTGAAGGTCCCTTCGCATCCATGTTGTCAACCTGGAGCCAAGGGTTCTCTCTCTAGTCTTCCAGCTGGATTTCCGCCCGTCTTGAACCATGCACTTGCCTGGACGGGTGGAGATCTCAAGCACCAACAGGACTTTGTCACCCAGCTGAGCGAGGATGATCTTCTCGAGCTTCGGTCTGCTCTCGTAGCATTCAAGGGTACTGTCTCTTCTGACCTCTTGGTTTTGTGGAGTTGTGCTAATATCAAACGCAGCTCTCGAGCTTGATGGTGATTCCATCAACAGCGAAAACTTCCCGCTGCCCACTCTTGGAGCTAAGCTCGTGGACGTCAGACAAGCAATTTACGATGGCCGAGGATTCAGCGTCATCCGCGGCATCAATCCCAGTGATTTCACCGTCGAGGACCTCACAATGATCTGGCTCGGAGTCCAGGCACATGTTGCTGATCAACGCGGATGCCAAGACCACAGGGGCAACATGCTTGGTAAGGGATGACGAAAGTTTGGGAACGTGCATCACTGACCACATGTCTAGTGCACATCGTTGCAGACAACAGCTCCAAGGACAAGATTGGCCACCACCGCCATTCAACCTCGTCAATTGTATGCAAGACTGCTTTCAACGATGCACTTTGGGAGGGAATGTACTGACTCTAAGCTGTAGACGTTCCACACCGAGGAAGCAGGTGACATTGCTTCATGGTTGACAAGAAGCACTGCAGCAAGTGGAGGTCGCTGCGTCATTGCTTCGGCCTATCACATCTACAACGTTCTCGCGGCCCATCGCCCCGATGTCATCCGTACTTTGGCCAAGTCGGATTGGCCCTTTGCATTGTGAGTCCGACCAATCACACAACTCATCTCATTGGCGAAGAGACAACTAATTAAGCATTGCATAGCCCGCATTTCCAGTGTCGCCCTGTCATCTTCCAGCAGGACTCTCGCCTCATCATGAACTTTGGTCGAACACCTCTTCTGGGCAATGCTACGCATCCGCGACCCGAGCATCTGCCTCAGACCAATGATCGCCAGAAGGAAGCACTGGATCTCATTGAGGCCATTGCAAAGGCTACTCAGCTTGAGATCAAGACACAGCCTGGTGATATGCACTTCATCAACAACCTGGCTGTTCTTCACCGCCGTGAGGGATTCACCAATGGTCAGGTCAAGCAGGAGAAGCGCCATCTCGTTCGCATGCGCCTTCGAAGCTCTGAGCTGGGATGGACCATTCCCCCTGAGCTCGAAAGAGACTGGCACGATGCCTTCGAGAAGGACCTGGCCAAGACCTGGCACCTCGAGCCCATGCCTGGCGATGCATTCCCGCTGCGAAAGTACACAAACTAGCGTGAAGAAGAAATGAGGTGAAGAAAACAGAGTTTGGGCCCATGTATCATTTGCATTGGCGTTGGTGTGCGTTTGCAGACTTTTTTTTTTCTTTTCTAATTTTTTCTTCTTCCTCCTGAGCCCGTTGTAAGATGACGAAAGGGTTACTAGGGGTCAAAACGATAAAAACGGCGTCAGGGGCCAGGTGACTGCATAGCACGGGAGCTCAAAATTAGCTTTTATTCCTGTTTTTCCTGGGCGGCGAAAGTGTGCGCGCGCAGATTGTATGGTGTTATCCGTGGGTAGACGGTTCAGATTCAGCATGCATTATAATCAACAGTATACACTTACTCTGCACTTGCGTGAAAGATCCTGTGCCCAAGAGTGAGTGGCTGGTTTCCCCGAGCTAAGAGCAACACTAGCACAATAGCCAGTAGGTAAAACCTCATGAGACCTAAGTTTACTAAAGCGAGAAGAAAAGAGGATGGACAAAGTTGATCACCAATACCAAAGAAGCAGTATAAGCAGGAGAATACACGTGGCGAATCACAAGTCCAAAGAAGCCGCGGATGGCGCTCCTGGGAAAATCACGTCCTTCTCGAAGTACCTGCAATGTAACGTGCAGACAGAAGGCAGATGACTGGGATGGGATATGAAGGAGGTGTAATGATTCCATCAGATAACGCAAGCGGCGCGTCTACACATTGTGATGCGCATGGTTCATTGGTTTCCTGCATTCACGTACATGCACGTATACCTTTTTTCAATGTATACTCTCATTTCAAAAGTTTGGAGGGGAAAGACACGGCCTAACATTATACGCGAGTGTTTCTAAGGAGGAGCCAGAAAGTCATTTGCAATATTGCAGCAGAGATTTGTGCATGACTACTAGGGAATGAGGAGAGAGAAGAAAAGAAAAAAAAGAGGATTAAAAAAAGAGAAGGGTTTAAAAGAAAGAAAAAGTAGGGATGGAGGGAAGAAAGAAAGAAAGAACACTTTGGGCACGACTCATCGATGAGCTTTTTTCTTGATCCATCTGCAGCCGGTCAACGGGAGAGCATCCGGCAAACCGATTGCCGGGTTACAGCATCGCTGCTTGGTGTGTAGTACTTACTGGGACAAGAACCAATTGCCACTGGGTATTTATGAACCAAATTCTAATTGGTCTGAAGGGGGAGAGACAGAGAGAGTTTGTGGAGGAAAAAGAGCGACTACCAGGACATTCTCCGCCCGGCACGGATACATGACTGGGAAATAGCCATGTGTGGAGAGGCACGAATTTGATATTGTTGACGCGGACATTGTTTTTTTTTTTNTTTTTTTTTNTTTTTTTTT